GTTTGAGTGAGATTAGTGCTTGGATGGGTGACCTGAAATTTATTACCCAACACTGTTTTTGAAATTCTTTTTATTTTTATTTTCTTTTAACTAACTTACTAACTTATTTTYATTTTCTTTGAAATAATTTACTAACAAATCACTTATGATTGTAAGCTGCACGGCTGCTAATAGCGCCTAAATACGCAGCCCGTAAAGTCCTCCACTGGTCATGATTGTGAAGCGCATTGAGACCATGTAAAATGGCTATTTGAACCAATCAGCACCGTGCAAAAAACGGCTGTTCCCTGGGCCTCATCGGGGGAGGAACGAGAMCGAGGAGCTCTGGGTACGAGAATGTTTAATGGCGGACCTTTAAATTAGTTTATGATTAATACATAAGTAATACATAAAAAAATATACAAACATCTAAGTAAATAATGCATAGAATAAACAACCCGTCGGTATTTTTATTTCTGATTAATATTAATTCGACAATTGATAACAAAGCATTTATATTCGCGTCATATTACGTACAAACACACAGCAGTTCAATGTGTAATATTAAAACAAGATTAATATATTTTGTATGGGAGGATCAAAGAGTTTTAGTAGGGGAGGGGGGGATGGGCAAGAGATTTAGAAGATGCCCTGTTAAAGCAATAGGACGTTTGCACGATGGCGTCATTGACTTCTACTACCAGATCCCCTTGCACACTTTTTTTTCTTCAGTTAATTAGCACCAACTGTCTTACAATTCTCATGAGGGAATACAAATTTAAATAAGAAAGAAATTTTGCCAAGCATTATGGTAATGCGAGTCAAATGACGCCATCAGGCAAATGTCATATTAACACTATTTAATGTTAATTAACACATCAGTATAGTTCCAAGCTAGAAAGGGGGGGGGAGGGGGTTTAATGGCCACCTTGTTACCACTCCCTACTCCCTAAATCCGCCACTGCCTTGCAGATTACAAAATAAAACACGAGCGTTAGTCAGCAAAAAAACTGACTGATTCAACTGTCATTAGTAGCAAGTCAGTCCAGTGAGACAAACGATTGCATGTGTAGATTATAATGATTGCTAAAGTTGGTTTTCGAAGCGAAATGATAAAAAATATCGCGATACAGGCGAAAGACAATCGCCTGTTTTAAACGGGCATCAAATTGGTTTTCAATCTCGAAGCTTAAGCACATCATGGCTTTATACAGCTGTTTCAAAAAGAGATTGATCAGTGATGGCACTACTAACAGGAATTGTGGGGTATAAGAATTTCTTCACAGTCATTYCTAAATGCCTAAATAATGTCTGCACCTTTCAGCGAAACCTTATATGGCGAGTATTAGTTGACGCGGATGTTATTCGATTCATGTGTCCGTAAAAGTGTGACAACAGTTCTGTTTGGTGGTGCAATCACCGATCGCCAATCTCCGTTCGCCCCTTCATCCTGTATATGATTATGCTAAGCGTACTATTATATGTTTGCAAAGCTTGGACCATAGCAGACAAAATCCTATAACTTCTGGATTCATTTTAAACCAACTGTTTTCCACCAAGAGTCTGGAGGAAGTAAGGGTTGAAGTATTGGATAGGAAGGCGTTTATGAGCACGAGCTAATAAGAGAGACTATAAGAATGAGTCTCTTGCATACAGTCCATCTTGGCGTTCATATTATGCAAAAATCAAAGCACAGACTAAAACTAATGAAAATGCATTTCAGCGAGTTAATTCAAGTTTATCATTATTCCTTTGTTCGTTATTCGATGATTTTCTTTGTTTTACTTTAGATACAGACGGTATTACTTCGCTKGTTACATCGATTCGACTCACACAAGGCAAGGAACACGGACACCACTTCAGTACATTTCTCATTGCGCGAATAAACAAGGGCATGCGCAGGGCGTACAGAAACTGGTTGGCGGAGCAGTTGAACAGAGCTGATAAGAATTGGAAATCTCTTAACCAATGAATGGTCTCACAGTCACACGTGACACAAAAATTAATGACGTAAGCCATGATGCATGATGGGACATTAAAGAATATAAARACGACAAGAATATATAGGAAAGCTCTGGTTGCCTTCTTTTCGTATTTTAAMATTTTTACTTGTGAACGACTGYGGACTGAGCTAGCGCCTTTGTCGATGTGTGAATGAAGACTTTGGTAGATTTTCACATATGAAAARGTGATAATTCCAAGCGTTGTCATGGTAGCAACGTTAGAAAATATCAAGACGAACTTGTAAAACCCGGTCGCGAAATATATCATAGAGATACTAAAGGACAGCAACCAGATGGCTATCGACACGTACACAKCYTTATGGATAGCAATTTTGCGCCGGTATCTAGATGTCACTGTCAGATAACGGTCGATTGCCAGAGCAGCAATACTAAGTAAAGATGCCAGGCATGAAATGAAATAGGTCACGTGAACAATCCACAGAAACCTCGTAACTGGGTCACCGTGAGCCTCGCTTGCATGATACCATACAAAGATCGGTTCTGTCACGAGTCCTGAAATGAGGTCGGAGAAAGCTAGATTCAGAACGAAAAAGTTGAACGACGATCTTAGGTCTTTG